AAGGTTCCCTGCCCCAGGACTGCTCTGGGCCACAGCCTCTGCTCCCAGTGCGGCCCAGCCTGCCCCACCCCTGCGCCCCCAGCCAGGTACCTTGTAGAAGGCAAGTGGTCCGAGCTTGGCGGTTTCCACGGCACAGTGAGTGACTCCCTGGAGTGAGAGGGCGACAGATGAGCTGGGAGGGGCTGGGAGGCAGAAGCTGGCACGCGGAGATGGGAGGACAGGCAGCAGCAAGGTGGGCAAGGTGGGCGACTCACCTGGTACTCCCCGTGGGAGTTCATGAGGCGGGTCTTGAGCACATCCAGGGGCTGGCACAGGAATGTGGCACACAGGCCCTGCAGAGAGCCAGCCAAGTCAGGAGACCTCTGTGCCAGCAGCTGCTGTGGTCACTGCAGAGCCTCAGAGCCACCCTGGGACCTGGAGCCTCCTGGAGGCACTGTGCTGAGCCGAGCGCAGAGCAGCAGCTCTGGCAGCCCCAGCCTGACACCCCGACCCTGCTGCAGGCAAACCCAGCACTGCCCCCGGCCCCCAGCCCCACTCACAGCGATGACGCTGGACAGGAAGTGAGTGAAGACATTGTCTGACAGAAATCCAGTGGCGAGAACCAGCTGCTTGGCCTGGTCATAACAGGAAAGCTGCAGAGACATGGTGAATCAGCGACATGCTCCCCGTTCCTTGTGCACCAGGGACCATCCTTGTCCCTATCCCAGTCCCCTACTGCCCAGCAGAGCTGCCCTACCTGTCCAACAGTGACAAGGGCCCCACGGATTGATGCCACTGATGCTCCTGAGAAGAGATTCTTCACGCCCTCTGTGGACAGACAGATTTGGATCAGAACGGTTCTCTGCCATCACTCAGACTCCATTACCCCGGGAGTCTCACATGCCCAGTGTGTGTCCACAACTCTGCACACAGCCCTGCTTGAAGCCCACCATCGCAAACAGGCTGAAGGAGTCCTTCAAAGCAGCATGACCTCCTCCCTGCCTCTGCTCATCCTCTGCTCCACCCTCCTGTGCTGCTCTGTTGCAGCTCCCAGCAGCTCACCCTTTTCCACCAGGCTGCCAGGCCCTGGCAGACCTTGCCCAGCCCCTGCCCCAGCCAGATGATGAGAAGATGCAGACCCTGCGCTCCCCTGCACACCCCCCGCCCCAAGGGCATCCCCCGGNCCTGCCCTGTGTCCCTGCCGGAAGCTCAGGGAGGTTTCCTACTCTCCTTCTCCGTTCTTTCCTTGAGAATTAAGTGCGAGGAACTTTGGCAGCAAAGGAGCAGCTGAGCAGCCCAGAGCAGTCCTTGTGCTGCAAGGCTGTGGCTTGTTTGCACAGAGCTACGTGATTGTGGAATCGGTGGCACACGGAGAGAGCCAACATCACCAGGCCCTGGTGATGGCAGATTCTGTCTAACCCTGGACCAAGAAAACCCAAACCAGCCCTGACAGTGTTTTCATCAACAGGAGCCAAGGATGCTCTTTGCATCACCTCCACTTCAGCCTGGTCACCACAAGCCATGGTCAGGGGGCACCTGCACAGCTGCCTTGTACCAAACAGAGACCATGATATAGCCTGGCAGCAGCCAAATCACCTTGCTGCCCAGCTGGCTCTGGCATGGGGATGCTGAGCCACACAGCACCTCATCCCTGGCTCGAGGAAAGGGGTGTTTTTGTTCATCACGTTGCATGAAAACTGGTGAAACACAGACGGAAGGCACAGGAGGCAGTGCGACACGTGTGGTTAGCATGTCACAGGGGAGGCACAGGGCTGGGAAAAGCCTAGGAAAAGGTCAGTGCAGACAGGCTGGTGCACACACTCCCCTGCACTGGGAGCTCCACAGCCGAGCAGCAGATCTGCAGCCCCGGCAAGGCAGGGGTGCTGCGGGGGCCACACGTGCCCAGCCATCCTCTGGCACCACAGGCGCGCACCCGACCCCAGAGCTGGGGCAGATCAACAAGGACATGGGGACGCAGGACAAAGCAGGAGGCAGTGGTGGAGCACAGGGGATGGAGCAGAGCAGCCATCCCATCTCCCCCATGTCCGGCTTCTCCTGCCCCAGTCCCTGCCTGGCACAGCGAGGTGCATGGAGATGCTGTGCTCAGTGGCTGGTTTTAGCCCTGTGCTGCTGATCAGGGTTTGTGGTCACATTTTTTCATTAACTATTTTTAATCCACATTTTGCCTATTCTCTGTTCAGCCTTTTCTCTTTTCCCCTCTCTAGGCAACAGAACATAAAAAAAAAAAAAAAAAAGAAATGCACCGCAGTGTGCGGAAAGGAGCAGGATTGGTGGGAAGCCACAGGAGCTGGCAGCTGGGGCAGCACTAACACGCTGACGAGGGGTCCTGCAGGCCCTAAATTTTCCTGCTGATGCACAGACAAAATCACAGGGGCAGTCACTGAATTTGGTGTGGGTCAGGACACCGCGGCAGGCGCCCCACGGGCAGGGGGCTCAGCAGAGCTGATGCTCCATCCTGAGGCCATTCTGTGCCGGGGAGCAGGCTGGCCCCGCCGTCCCTGCGTCCCTCACCACCCGGGGGACGTGCAGGGCCGGGCAGAGGGGACCCGCAGCAGCTTTGGAGATGCACTTGCAACCAGGAGGACGGCAAGGTCACATACCCGACATGTCCTGGTTAAACAAAGCCATTTACCAACACCGTGTTGACACAGCAGAGCTCGGGACAGAGTCACAAAGGGCACTCGCACCAGGCCCCCGTAATACCCATAGAGCTTGGGGAGAGCTGGGACC